CCAGCCGGTCTTGAAACGTTGCGGCACGTTTAATACGTACATTGTTTGTGTAAAAAGTAAAAAGTAAAACTTTGATATCAAGCTCATAGAGTTATGGAGCAAGTGACTGCTCAGGTCTGTTAAAACATAAAGTAGTAGAGCCTTAATTATTCATAAGACAATTTTGTTTATGAGAAATTTTTGGAATAACTCTTTTTTCGTTTTAAACTAGATTGTCAGTGTACTCCTGCTACTCTTTGATATTAAGTAGGCGTCGAAGTTGATGTAAATTTTTGAAGAAATTTTAGTAATTATTTGGTATGGAATTTGAATTTGAATTTCCTCACACTGAAGCTCCTATTAAAACAATCTATTGTAAGCGATGCCATACTAGAAGACAATAATGTAGGTCATTGTTATAATGGACTGAAACCACTAACAGATTAAAAGCTATATGCTGGTTATTTCAGGTTCAGGACAGCTAGAAGATATTGGAATTGGCAAGGGCAAGAAATATTCTATCAACATCCCGCTACAAGATGGTGCTAGGGACCAGGAGTTTGTCGCTTTGTTTTGCAGGTAGAATTTTATTTTCCTTTCTTTATAATGTTAGCCACTTTCAGAAAGTTTTAAAATGAGCCGACGGTTCAGATAAAATGAAGTATAAAAAAATGTAATTTCCCGAACATGAAGCTAATATGTTTACTTTGTAGAAAGAGCTCTTTTCCCTACTATTGATTTGAAGTGTTGACTGTCATAATCATGTACCTCTCTTGTCCAGGGTGATACAGAAGGTGCGCACTGTGTTCAGACCTGAGGCGATAGTTTGTCAGTGTGGGGCGGATGGTTTGGTTGGTGATCCTATGGACTCTTTCAACCTCACTCCGCTGTCGTTAGGCCGCTGTGTGTACTTCCTGTTAGACTGGGCACTCCCCACACTTCTGCTGGGAGGAGGTAAGTAATTTTCCATTAAGGCAATAAGATTGCCGGAATGTATTCCTTGTCACTTTGTCCTTTTACTTTATAATCAGTCAGTTGATATAAGTTGTGTATTGTAGATCACTTTATGTTTTGTGTGTACTTTATGTTACTGTGGCTGTAGGTTTCATTTGTGAATATAATTTCATTCACAACTGAAAATAGTAATTCAATATCGAATGTAATCATCTATGGAATTCATATTTTCAAAAGATGAACATCTGCAAATGTACCTCCTTGATAATCAACACAAAACTTATTCTCATAAATATATACTAATTCATAGAACCTATATTTATCTTATCTAATGATTTTCCTTTGCTTAAAATAAGCTTGGAGTAGCTTCCTATGATTTTTAGCTGCCATATTGAATATTGGCAAAACAATTTGATTCTATATGCTTTGTTCAGCATACATTGTTATTTTGAATTCATTGGAATAATCATGAAATCACTTAAGTGAACAGACAACATAAGCTAACTGTAACGTTTGTTTCCTGTAGGTGGCTACCATCACACAAACACAGCCAGGTGCTGGACCTTTCTGACAAGTGTAGCTGTCGGTAAAAAACTGCCATCAGATATACCTGATCATCAGGTAAGACACTGGTAGCTGATCACAGGTTAAATAATAATGATAGGTATACCTGATCACAGTTAAGATAATGAAAGATACTATTGATAACAGATAAGATGATGACAGATATACCTGATCACAGGAAAGATAATAACACATATACATGATCACAGGTAAAATATCTACAGATATAACTAATCAAAGGTGAGATAATGACAGATATGAGCGTAACTTTATAATGATGTTGTATGATAGGGGACATTAGACTAAATAATGTGTCATCAAATGGGACATTGGACTAGACAGTGTGTCATCAAAGGGGACATTGGACT